AAAAAAAAAAAAAAAAAAAACCAAGGGGCGAGGCAAGAGACTCTTGACAGCCCATGTATATCAATAAAGAGATTTTTATGACACAACCAAGCGAGCTAAGACTGTATAAATCTGTAATTTATTGCCATGACTGATGAAAGGAGCAGCAGCAGAGTCACTGTCTTGAGAGACACTTGCGAACAATCCATGTACCCTCTTGTGGGGCTGAGACCCTCCGACAGCACAGAGAAAATTTTTCCTTGCTGTGAGATTAGCACTGTGACTATTTCACATTGTTCTTAAACCATGAAAAGACACCTTCTCAGAAAATAGACTATGTATCTGCAAAAAAGAAGAAATGTGATCTTTGCAAATACTTGTCAAAAATTCAAGTCCTCTCCCACTTTTTTTCCTGTTTTAGTTTGTTTTCTGTTCTATTAGAGCCCAGGGAGAAGCCCACCCCCGAGAGCCTCCACGAGCCACCAGTATCCCAAATGAGGGAAGAAGTTATGACAGGATCTCACCATGAGCCTGAGGAGGGCAATAAAGGGGATCAGAATCTACTCCCTTTGGAATGACTACCTGGTTCATTCATTTGTTCAACAAGTATTTGCTGAATGCTTACCAGGCATTGTCCCAGGTACTGCTGGGATACATCAGAGGACAGACAGTGCCCCATGGCACTTATATTCTAGAAGAGAAGGTGATCTGGGTAGTGCTGATAGAGGCTCCACGGAGGCACTCGGCACCTCCTCTGCCATCCTCCCCCAGCCTAACTGGACCGACTCTGAGCCTGATTCATTCAGACAACTGAAGAATCTTTAGAGAGGGGGCAGGAGTCGTGCGGGCAATATCTGGATATTGTTTGGCCATGACTCTGTAGGAAGTAAAAGGAGTCTGAAACTCGCTCCTACTTCCTGGGGTTCCATCTCACTGCAATCACAAAGATCAAAGTAAGGTCAGGTTCAGAGAGGAGAGACGTCCTTAAATGTGGCAGTCAACAAAACACTCACTCACTGGCTTTTGGAGTCGTCCAGCAATGTATAAGTTATTCCAGTTGAGGAGATCTTCAATCAAAGTACTAGTGCTAATAACCCCATATTTGATAAGCTGGAAAAGAAAAGAAATGCACATGAAAAAGAGCAAAATACCATATTTTTACTAATGCAAATGCAAAATATAAGGAAATAAATTTCTGACTAGAATAGTACCTTGATTTCCGAAGTCACTCAAAACGCCTACCTTGTGAAAACAGACATCTCCACCAAAACCCTTTGCAGAGGATTAGTTTCCAAGACTGATTTGTCCCCTCAGGTCTGCCAGGTGAAGTGACCACTATGTTTTTATTTTATTTTTTTTTTTTTTTTGCTGAGGAAGACTGGCTCTGAGCTAACATCTATTGCCAATCCTCCTCCTTTTTTCCCCCCTTTTTCTCCCCAAAGCCCCAGTAGATAGTTGTATGTCATAGTTGCACATCCTTCTAGTTGCTGTATGTGGGACGCGGCCTCAGCATGGCCCGAGAAGCAGCGCATCGGTGCGTGCCCGGGATCCGAACCTGGGCCACCAGTAGGGGAGCTCAAGCTAAACCGCTAAGCCACTGGGCCGGCCCAGTGACCACTATTTTAACTTACGCTCTTGCGATGTTAAGGCAGAATGGCTCTTAGAGGCTATCTAGTATTGGTCCTCAATGGACTGGAAATAAAAAACTGGTCCTTCACCACAGACAGATTGAGACGTGATGATACAGTTTATGCTTCTCATTTGAGAAATAAGAAACCTGAGGCTCCGAGAGCATAAATGACATGACCAAGGTGGCACCATTAGTAGCAGAGTCAAAATTAGGTCCCTGGATTTCAGTCCGGGCTTCCAATGTTTGTTTCATCACAAAGTCCAAGAAATTTTCTTTAATTAAAAGTTTTCACTGACATGGTTTACATGGTGAATTTCTCTTTTGCTACTATTTCAAACACTTTTATAATTACAAAGCAATACCCAAAAATAAAACCTCTTTATCAGTGCTAAACACATAGAATTATGGTCAAGTTCATTTCAAAAGTAATTTGTACAAACCCTGAATGTAGTTGTTCCAGGTTACAAAATCCAATTTGCTTTAAAAAATATCTTCAGACTCACTCCTGAACTTCAGTATCCAAACAGCCTTCTCAGGCTGCACATATCTAAAAACTAACTAAAGAATTTCAATTAAAAAGTACAGTCCCTTGGGTATATAATTATGCTCAAACATTTGGCTACTGGAGCTTGTAATACTGTTTGAAACTACTAATTAAAGATAGGCTCAGCATAATATTAATTATGGGGAAAGAACAAAGCTACGTGTTTGGCATGACTGAAGTGGATGTGGAAGGCTGTGCTGAATAACCTTCTTCCCTCCACTCTGGCCACAGCATTGCAGAAAGCCCTTCTTGCTGCAGGCACGTAACAACTGGGACATAATGAAAACACCACCAGCCTGGAAATTGGGAGTCTGTCACTAACTTGCTGAATGACCTTATGCAAGTCATTGCCTCTGTCTGAACCCTGGTTTCCTCATCTGCAAAACACAGTTGGAACAGGACTGGACTTCAACCAGGAAAGTAAATATGTGGCTCAAAGGCTATGCAGACATCACCAATTAATCATAGCACTCAATCCTGCCAAGTTCAGATAGGTCTTCAAAATCCTTCTCAAGTCAGTACTCCAACCTCCTGCCCTTCAAAGTGTGGTCCACTGATCTGTAGCATCAGCATCACCTGGGAGCTTGTAAAAAAACGCAGAATCTCCGGCTCGATCCCAGACCAACTGAATCATAATCTGCATTTCAACAAGGTCCTCAGGTGATTCATCTGCACATCAAAGTTTGACTGCTGTGAGCAATCAGCAGCATGAACAGAGTTGCCACAGCTGGCAGAACCCGTATGTCACCCCTAGCCCAGCTAATCTCTAGGAGGCATCTGACAGCCCCCCACTGGTCCTCTTAGGCTAGGGTCCTGCCTAGTTTTTGAGAGCTCTCTTAGAGATTGGACCCCTTCATCTGAAAGACAGTTTGGCAGGGTTTCTGCTGTCAGACAACTCTCTGCTGGGATCCGTGCATTCTACCTGCTCTCCAACACCCCATCATTAAATTCCACCCACCTGCTGGCACCAAGAGGTTCCTATCACTTGGCACCACATGCTCCCAACTACTGATGATACCTTCTTCACTTCCAACTTTCTATTGGGAGTGTCTGCCCCCCGTACACATAACATTAATCTCCACCCTGATCCTTAACGGGCCTGCCTATTCCTCCCACTGACCAAATCAGCGGTTCTCAAACTGTTTTTCAGACCAGCAGCATCAGCATCATTTGGAAGCTTCTTAGAAATGCAAATCCTCGTTGCTAAGAAAGTAAATCTTTTTTTTTTTTTAGCAGAGAATTGATTTTTTTAAAAGATGTTTCCAGCTTTACTGAGGTATATTTGACAATCAAAAATCATATATATTTAAGGCATACAACCTGATGAGCTGATATACACGTACACTCTAAGAGTAAATCTTAAAAGTTCTCATCACAAAAAAAAAAATTTGTAACTATGTGTGGTGATGGGTGTCAACTAAACTTATTGTGGTGATCACTTGCAATAGACACATATCAAATCACTGTTGTACGCTAAAACTAACACAATGTTATATGACAATTATATCTCAATTAAAAAAAATGCAGGGGCCGGCCCCATGGCTTAGCGGTTAAGTGCATGCACTCCGCTACTGGCGGCCCGGGTTCGGATCCGGGTGCGCACCGACGCACTGCTTCTCCGGCCATGCTGTGGATACAGCAACTAGAAGGATGTGCAGCTATGACATACAACTATCTGCTGGGGCTTTGGGGAAAAAAAAAGGAGGAGGATTGGCAATAGATGTTAGCTCAGAGCTGGTCTTCCTCAGCAAAAAGAGGAGGATTAGCACGGATGTTAGCTCAGGGCTGATTTTCCTCACAAAACAACAAAAAAAAATGCAAACCCTCAAACCCCACCCCAGAGCTACTGAATCAGAAACTCTGGGGGTGAGGCCCAGCAACCTGTGTATCCAACAGGCACTCCAGGGGATTTTAATGCACACCAAAATTTGAGAACCACTTGGCCAAAGACAAAAAATTAAGAAAGTCATGCCTCACCACCTTCTCACACTACAATCACAGTCAAGAGAAGATGAGGACTCCAGTTATTACTCTGTTCCTGAGTTCAAGACATCCAGCGGGAGTGTGAACATTTCCTGACTGCCAGAACATACATGTTTAGCTGGTGTTCTAATAACAAAGGTTAACAACCACCCAAGTTAAGACAAAGGCTGGAAGTCACTTACCCTCCCATCGCACATGATCAGTGTATTGTAGTAAACTCCAGCGCCATAGTTATTCTGGACAGTTGTGATAATCTTTGGCCCAAAAACTTTTAGGAAAGAGTAATGGTTCCAATTTTTCTTCAGGTTCTTTGAATGCCATGCAACAGGGTTGTCTACTGTGAACACAAAGTCCAGCATGGCATCCTGGGAGGTGAAAAAAGAGAACGATTTTAGTTTTAATTCCTAGAAAGGCACCTAGATAGAGTGGAAAGCTCTAAAATTCTATGCCATTATGATTAACAGGAGATCTGGGGTTCTCATCAGAAATTTAAGCAAGTCTCTGGAACCAATCTGAGCTCTGTTTTCATCAATTCAAATAATAACAGCAACGCTGACTTAACACGTGTTGTGGCGCCAGCACTCTTCTCAACACTTTGTATATTACATGTACAGTAACTCACTTTATCTTCAAAACAATCCTACAAGTAGGTAGTTACTATCCCAATTTTATAGGAAAGGAAACCAAGGCACAAAGTAAGTTCCTTGCCCAAGGACACATAGCTAGTGAGCAGCAGACATAAGCAGTCTGGTTCCAAAGTCTGAGTGCCTAACCACTATGCTACACTGCCTTTCAGCTAAATGTGCTTCACTTGTCTTCCAGACCGAGTAACAGCCTATGGGTAAGCTCTATAAAGAATTATGTAAAGGGAAATAAGTTAGTTTAACTCTCACCCATTCACCAACCACTCACTAAGCACCTACAATGAGCTCTGATAGGTCCTGGGGTAGAAGTAAAGAGCTCAGGGTCTCCTGGGAAGAACAGACAAATTATCACTGATCTGACTTGATAGAGGAATGCAAAATGTACTAACTTCATTCAGAATGAGGCCAGGAGAACAGGAAGGAGAAATTTTCCTATAAAATTACATTCAAGACTGATAAATCTGAGTCTTGAAGAATGTGCAAGAGTTAAGCAGGCTTGGTGGAAGTATTAGAAGCATGGGGAAGGCAAGGGAGCCCTGTTAGAGGAAAATGCTCCTGTGGATATGAGAGCAGGACAAGTTCTGGGGGATGCTTTTAGTTTGCTTATGGCTGGAACAGAACACTGGCAGAGAGTGGTAGGAGATGGGACCAGAGAGGGAGGCTGGTTGCCATGCTAAGAAATTTTCCTGCAGAAGAGCTCATTGGAGGGAGGAGAGACTAAGGATAGGGAAACCACATGGAGGCTAAGTGCAAGATTCCAGGTGAGAAATGAAAAGATATTAACTAAGGCACTGAGGCACTGATGTGAGACAGACTTAGGTGTTAGACTCTACAAGACTTGTTAACTTGTAGGGAATGAGGGTGAGGGAAAGAGAAGGAAGGACCTTTTGTTGGAGGGAATTCCAGGTCTGCTCAAAGGAAAACGTTCATGGAAAGATAAAGAGGCAGCTATAGAATCAGGTGGCTAAGACCTGCTCTGAGTTTCCTATAGTGTGATCCACAAACCACTGGTGATACTAAAGATCTGGGGTGGATATGTTTTTAAAAAATTTATAATTATGTTAATGTATGTCAGGAAGAATAACTAGCCTATAATAACCTATAATTTCTTATATACCTATCTACAATTTCTCACATGCTGTCAATTTAAAGACAAGCAAAACACTACTATATGTGGAAAACAGGAAATCCAAGCAACAGTGTAGATGGCCTCACCAGGAAGTAAACAGGCAAACTTTAACCAGAAGACAGATTACAGCCAGGTATCCAAATCCAGGAGGCCCTATTGGAATCTGCGCACTTTCATTCCCTTCGTTTATTAAAGATGACAGTGAACTGTTAGGCTGTGCATGAACTATAGCAAGTAGAAATCCAGTTCAGAATGTGAGTTATACACACACAAAATATCTCTATTCAGACTCTTGCTCCTTTTATGTTAATTCAACAAAAGCTCTAAAGCCTTGCCAGAGAAAGTCAATAGCCTCATTTAAGTGGAAAACATTTGCCTTCTATTCTTCTGCTATGTCTTGAATCTTGTCTCTACTTTGAAAGCAAGAGCTTTTTTCCTCTACAGAAAAACAAAATCTGGGATAACAAAGAAAACTGCACCCTCACTGCCATTGTGCTCAGCCAACTCTGAAGCCTTACAGCGCCTAGTCCTAAACAGACTCTTGTTAAATGTCCTCAGCATGGATAAACATACTGGTTACCCACTAACTTTGGCTGTTAACTTCACTGCACCTACTCTGGCCCTACAACCAGTCTGTCGGCTTCCTGAAGTCAAGCGGATCATTTTATATTTTCTCCTACAGCTACACGTGTGACTTTCAAGCTCGGCTGTGCATTTAAATTACCTAGAAGGTTTTTTAAATTCCTGAAGCCCAGGCCTCATCCCGGGCCAATTAAATCAGAATCTCCACAGGTAGAATTTTTTAAAGCTTCCCTGAAAACTCCAATGTTCTGCCAAGGCTGAGAACACGGAACTAGCACCTGGCAAGTATCTTTTCCCTTTTTTTTCTTGCTTCTGCATCAGCTTTTCCCTCGGTATAACTTCATCTGCCGCTCTAGACCGAAATGGACTCGTAAACTTCAAAACCCAGCTAACGCTGTCGGTACACTAGGAACACTTTCGAACGGTTTGTACTTTGCTAGTTGATACGTGGAGCGCGCAGAGCGGACAGGCAGCTCAAGGCCTCTGGAAGGATCCAAGGAAACGGGAACTCGTGAGAACAGGCCGATTCCCAGCGTGGGGCTGGCCGGGGGCCGGGCTCACCTTCTGGTTGGAATTGGCCCCCGCCTGGCGGTACACCCCGGAGCCGTAGGCGAAAGCCAGACTCAGCTCCTCAGGGAAGTGAGACAGGATCTTTCGTAAGCCCACCCCCGAGCTCTGCAGCGCCTGCAGCGCCATGGGGCCGAGGTTCAGGGACGAGGACCCTAGGTGGCGCAGAGCGGGGCAGAGGACAGCGGGCAAGAGGATGCCACGGTTATACGTGGGGAGATGGAAGTCGGGGACCGGCCCCAACGGGAGAAGGGTGGGTCCGTGGTGGGGGAACTGGAGGGACCGGCAAGGACCAGTGGCGGTAGGCCACTCGGAGGCGCAGAGATGCGCCCAGTGCAGGCTCGGGGGCGGGCAGCACGCCTGCCGGCCGAGCGACCGACCATCTGGGGCCACGCCTTTCGCACGCACACACGCTTCAAAGGCGCAAGAGAAGTCGCTCGCCAGCGTGGGGTGATGCAGGGGATTTGCAGAGACCCCTGGTGGTCGGAGGAGCGCACTGCAGGCTAGCGGCCTGGGACTGTGACTTGGTAAGTGGGTGGGGGAGAGTGTCAGCTAACTGAACTGCTTTTGAGCCTTAAGAATCTTTTTTTGTTCTCGCCTCAAACCACATTTTAATAAATGATTATAAAATCATGCATGTGTATCGAAGAATTTTAATGAGGGGAAATTCACATAACATAAAATTGTACAGTTTATGTACAATAGAGTGGCAATTACTTCATTCACAATGTTGTGCAACCATCGTCTCTAAAATTGCAGAAGATTTTGAAGGTTTAGGAAAACACAAATAAAATTAAAATCATGCCCAATTCCAGCATCCAGAGATTATCATTGTTAATATTTGGCTGTGATTTCTTCCCATTACAGACTTTTTCAAATCCTATGGCGGATATGAAAGTGCTCCATAAGTTGTAAAGGACGGCACGATGTTCTCTGATATTTGTATTTAATTTTAAGGGTAAAGAAGAGTCTTTGCCCTTTTGTCTTGGGGCTTGGTCTCACAAAAGGCATATTAAATGCAGTTTATGGAGGAAACAGGACCCCAGGTGAGAGCTCACCTCTATGTGTAACTGGAGAAACCTGCTCAAGATCACAGGGCCATTCATGATGTAGTTGAAGTTCCAGGACAGAGACTTTCAGATACTCTTTCCTTCTTCCCCAGTGTACAATGCCTCTCAGAAATAACGGAAGTAATAATATCTAACATTTGGGTTATGTTGATGCATTTCACATGCATTTTTCATTGAGTCCACTCTACTGCCCTGTGGGAGGAGATTATTGCCTCTATTGTACAGATGAAGAAGCTAAGGCTTAGAGAGAAAAAGCAGTGTGCTTAGGATCACATCAAGCTATGGGAAAACTAGAGCTAAAACCCAGGTTTGGCTCCACATCCTACAGTTCTACTCTGTCCTTGAAGGGTTTTGAGCAAAGACTGTGGGACTCAAATGTTAGCCTGGATTGGAGCCGGGAGAGAAGAGGTGAGGAGACCAGTTAGGAAGCTGTTACCATAGTTGCACCACGAACTAAAGACGCCAGGCCTGGGGTCATAGAGGCGGGGATGGGTTAATTCAATTTGAAAAAAGTTTACTATTTGTATTCAAACTCTGGGCCTGACACTGAGGTAAGTGCTGAGGATCTGAGATGAATAGAACAGGGCGGCTGCCCTGCAGGAGCTCAGGATCTGTGAAGGAGACAGACAAGCAAACCAGAGTATAACGTGCAGTCGTGAAGCTGCATACCCAGTGCACACAGGATCTCTGACAAGACAGTGTTAATCGGTTTTAGGCGTGTGGGAAGAGAAGAGAGGAGATTTCATGGTGATGGCATCTGAATCAGGCCTTGAAGGATGGGTAGGAGTTTATCAGGCAGAAGATAGATGGGAGAGATCCTACCAAGGAAGAATTGATAGGACACCGTGACAATAATAATAGATGATATTTGTTTATTGATTTACTATTCCCAACACTTTCTATACTTATCTCTTTTCATCATTCCAAAGACCCTATGAAGCAGGTTCTCTAAGATTATCATCATTTTTTCAAACGAGGAAACAGAGGCCCTAAAAGGAGCAGCAAATTTCCCAGTCACACAGGAGAGTGAGAAGTCGGGATTTGAACCCAGGGACCCCGAACTCCAAAAGCCAAGCTCTTTACCACCGTGTTGTAGTGCCTTCTGAAATGGGCAGCCTATGAGGCAAGAGAACGGAATGGGAAATCTGCTGGTTCTAATCCATCAGCCAAGGTTGAGGAACAGCAGCAGTAGCCAAAGGGACAATCAAGAGACCAGAATAAGGATGGCAGAAGGGACACATGGTGCGTCGCAGTCTCTCTATGTGAGCACAATCATTTTGGTTCCTTCGGACTAAATATCGTCCTTGCCCAGACTCCCAGAATCTGAAATGCATTCACCGTGGAATTACACTGAAACCTTTCACCCAAAGACAGTGAATAAATCTGGACCAGCTTTATTTGTTTGTTTCTTTTTTTTATTTCTTCCCTTGAGGAAATAATTCAACTCTTTGTTTTTCCCCCCTCTCTTTACAAAAGTAATCCATGCTCATAAAAATGTAAACATTACAAAAATATGTATACCATCCCCCAGAGATAGCCACTGGTAATCTTTGGTACATATTCCTCCAGATATTTTTCTATGAATACATTAACGTTAAAAACATTTTTAAATGGAATCATATGATAAATACTATTTTGCAATTTGCTTTTTTTCACTTAACGTATCAGGGACACCTTTCCGTGTTAGAATATATAGATCTATCTCAATCTATTTATTAGCAGCAAATTTTTCTGAAATACGGATATGCCATCATTTGTTTAAACATTTTTATATTGACAGATATAGATTATTTCCATTTTTCATATATGCAAACACTGTTACAGTGAACATCCTTGTATACAGACCTTTGTGAACATGTGCAAGTATTGCTATAAAGTAGATTCCTAGAATTGGAATTGCTGGGTCAAAGTGTCGGCCCATTGCTAAAATCCCTTCCAAAAGATTGTATCAATTCACACTCTCACCAACAGCGTTCAGCACTTGATATAAATAAAGATTCTGCAATGTTTCTCCCTTACAGGCTTTCACACCTAATTATCAGTAATTTTCGTTTTCACAAACACTTTCCTTCTGATAATGCAAAACCACCAGCTGGAAAGTTCCATCACATTCTCGTATGCATTTTGCCCTTCACCAGAAAGAGGCAGACACACTGTAGCAGAGAACACATTTGTATTCTCCAGCAGAAATCTCCTGCTCCGACCAGTTCATCTGCTCCCTTTTAAATTACTATGGCTTGCTAAATTAGAAGCTATTAAATAGCCCTAGTGTTCTATATAATCGCTTTAGGGTTCTGTTGGAACTCTCATACCAATGAAATAAAAACCTTAGAGAGCCATTTTAAAATATAGATGAATGCCACTTGATTTGAGTGAATGCTGGGCCTCATTTTTCTGATTTATCCAGCTGTTGGCTTTGTATTCCTTAACAATGACCTTGTCAGGCTAGGTTTCACCAGGAGAATGTTCATCTATTCCATTTTTTAAAAATGGAATCTCTATAACTTTTATGTCCTGGTTTTTCTTCTGATTAGTGTTTAAGTAAAGAACAGAAAATGTCTGGGGGAAAAAAATCCAAGCTCTGTGGTTGTTATAATTAACCACATGCTCAATTTACCTGCTGATGGAGGTGAAGGAGCGGGGTCTTGATCTCCGTCTCATCAGAGGATCACTGTCGCATCTGTCCATTCTCAGCTGATTGATCTGTCTCACCTGGGCCAGACTGAGAGCTCTTTAATACATCTTCAGTCTCTGATCAGAGGCTCTGTGGTAACACCTGGGTTTGAATGTGGGCCCCAGGAGTTACTAGCTGTGTGACCTTGGGCAGGACATCTGAAGTTCTCTGTGTCTTGTTTTCCTCCTTTGTAGAATGAGCATAATAATAATTATGGTATTATGGTTAGGATTATTATGGTATAATAATCCTATACCTACCTTATAGGATTGTTGGGACAGTAAATGAAATAGTATCCAGAAAATACATAGATTGGTGCCTGCCACAGAGTCGGTTCTCAGTAACTGTTCCCCATCTTACTGAATTCTTGAGACAATATACAAGAGGAATTAAGAAGCATAATTATACCTAACATCTTTATGGCGTTTAGCATTTAACACAAAGCACTTTTCCAAACTTGATTTTATTTAATTCTTAAAACAAATCCTGGGAAATGAGTGGTTATTATTCCAATTTTACAGATGGATATACTGAAGCATAGAAAAATGAAGTGATTTGCCTGAAGTCGCAGAGCTAACGGCAGCCCCTGCCAATACAGTTTCCAAGTGTAACCCTTTTCCTCTTGCACCATAAAAATGACACAAAATTGTTCGTTTTCCCAAAGGATTCATTCACTCATTCATTCTGCCATTGAAATCTTCCTCATGCTTTAGTCCCAGCTCAAATAGCACCTCCTTCTAATCAGAAGTAATTGTTCAGTCCTCTGTGCCCAGAAAACCCTTTGCTTACAGATCTCCAGCCTTTGTCTAAATATCGGATGAGTCTATCAAGAACAGTTATAAAAGGCTTGCGGACTCTCGGAGGTCAGGGACCACATCTGATTCATCTTTCTACCCTTCAGTGCCTAGCACAATGCCTGAAACACAGTTTCTGCAATTGAGAACATCATAGGCTGGTGACAAAAAAATAAACATGTATACAAAGCAATTACAGTAAAATACAGACAAGGTCTGTACCACGGCTGGGTTTCTGGGAAAGCTTCTTGGCTGGGAATCTGGGTGTGGGGAGACATTTGGGCTAGGTCTTGAAACATGACCAGCACTTTATCAGATAGGAAAGAGTAGTGAAAACATTCTAGAGAGAAAGAACAGCCTCTACACAGGGCCTTGCAGTCCTCACTCTGAGAGGACACTGTGCTGTCCAATGGAGTTCTGGAAGATCATAGACTCTTACGGTACCAAAGAAATGAATGAATAATCGTATAACTTCAGAGAACAGAGCATGTATCTCATCTGAGAGGCAGTATAATACAGTGGTCAAGAACGTGAGCTCTGGATCCAGACTGCCTAGTTTGAATCCTGGCTCAACCATTTGTTGTCTGTGTGTGACGCTGGGCAAGTAGCTCTTTGCCTCAGTTTCCACATGTTTAATGGATATAATAATAGTGCTTACCTCACAGGGTTGTCACAACAACTAAACTGGTTAACCTACATAAAGTGCTGGGAAAAATACCTGACATGTAGTGAGTACTATGTATGCGTTTGCTGTTGTTATTATTATTATT